TTCTGATGGGAATGATGGAAATTCACATCCAGGAATTCCCAACCTGCCTTGGGAATTCACCTTCAGGAATTCATCCAGTGGGAATGATGGAAATTCATCTCCAGGAGTTCACCTGGTGGGAATGATGGAAATTCATCTCCAGGAATTCATTTCCAGGAATTCACCTGGTGGGAATGATGGAAATTCACCTCCAAGAATTCCCAACCTGCCTTGGGAATTCACCTCCAGGAATTGACCTGCTGGGAATGCTGGAGATTTATCTGCAGGAATTATCTCCTGGAATTCACCCCATGGGAATGATGGGAATTTTCCTCGGGAATGCCCAGCCTGGGACGTGGCTGGATCTCTGCAGCCCTGCTTTGGGATCCTGGCTTCCCCAGGGCCATCCCACATGGATTCTGCTTCCCACTGCCCTTGGGGACAGAGCCAGAACCAGCTGGAGATTGGGATTTGTGTCCTGACCCTTCATTCCTGCAGCTCCCTGATTTATCTGCATGGATTTATCTGTAAAAACCAGGAAGAAATCCCAGTTTTTCCTTCTCTGCTGATTCCCCTCCCCTGCCTGGCTCCTGTGCTTATTCCAGGGTTGGAATTCCCATGGACACCCTGGGACCTGGAGTGTTGCTGTCCCTTTTTTATTTTTTATTTTTTTATATTTTTTTTGGGGTGGAAAGCTGCTGGGATGAGTTACAGCCTGCAGATGTTTCTGGAAGCTGGAGGATAAAACTTTGGATCTTGGTGCATCCCAGGGATGGGCAGCACTGGAAGAAGTCCCAGGAGAGGGATGTGGGAATGGCTGGAGGTGCTGGAAAACCACACAGGGCTGTTCCCTGGTGCCTTCAGAGGGGTGGAAATGCTCTGGGATTGGGATTGGGATTGGGAAGAGCCCAGAGGATCTGTTCCCTTTGCTTTTGGTGCCAGAGGATCGATCCCAGCCCCTGACCCCCAGCTCTGCTCCCTGTCCTGCTTGCTGGGGACACTCTGGAATGTCCATCCTGCTTTTTTTGGAGGGATTTATGGATTTCCTGCAGCAGAAGAAATCTCTGTGTGGGACGTGGGAGCCGATTCCATGGATCTGCTGTGCCTGTTCCTCTGCCTTCAGCTCCCACCTGGAATCTTCCTCTGGATGGGGATTTAATTTTTTTTTTTTTCCTCCATCCCGCAGCTCTGGAAGGGTTGGGTGGCCCAGGCAGGGCCTGTCCCATCCTGCTGTGTCCCTGGGGTGACACAGGATGTCACCTCCTGCTGCCCAAAACCTGCCCTTCCATCGGGAACGGGCCACGGCTGCTCCCCCCCCAAAAAAAAAAAACCTGGATGTGGGGAAAATCCTCACGGGATCACGGAATGGTTTGGGCTGGAAGGACCCCAAATCCCACCCAGTGCCACCCCTGCCGTGGCAGGGACACCTCCCAGTGTCCCAGGCAGCTCCAAGCCCTGGCCAGGGACATTTCCAGGGATCCAGGGACACCCTCTGGCTGCTGGAAATTTCCTTCATGGGACTGTTGGGAACACGGATGGAGCCCCCAATCCCTGGGGGTGTTTTTGGGGTGTCCCCTCCATCCCTGAGGGTGTTTTTGGGGTGTCCCCTCCATCCCTGAGGGTGGTTTTGGGGACACCTCATTTTGCAGTGTCCCCTCATTTTGGGTTGTCCCCTCATTTATTTGACGTGTCCTCCTCATTCCCAGGTATCCCCTCATTTATTTGGGGTATCCCCTCATTTATTTGGGGTGTCCCCTCATTTTGGGGTGCAGGCAGGAGGGTCCCAGGCAGCAGCAGCAGCTCCAGGACCCTCCTGGCTGCCCGTGGGGACTCTGGGAATTGGCTCCTTGGATTTTTCAGCTGCTTTTCCTCCGAGTTCTGTAATGTTTGGAGTAGGGAATGTTTGGATTTTTCCCTTTTTTTTTTTTTTTTCCTCCCCAGAGCTGCAGTTGAGCTTTGCAGTTCAGCAGTGACTCTCCATGGCTGGAGGAGTGCTGGGATTAAATCCCAAAAAAAAAAAACCAAAAACCCCTGGGAGCAGCTGGGGGCCCTCTGCCATCCTGGCTGGGATGTGGGGTTTCTGTGGGGTTTCTGTCCAAGCCCATGGTGGGAATGGAGGATCCAGGAATTATCCAGGGCCAGGAGCCCCTGGTGGTGTCAGGGGGGTGTGGGAGCAGCAGGATCCTGGGCTGGATGGAATTTTGGGGTGGAATTTTCTTCTCCCCATGGAGCCACCTGGAAGCTGCTCTGGAGCAAATGAGCAGAACTTCCCTGTCCTGAGCTGGGCTTTCCCAGAACATTCCTGGTGTTGGAATTGCTGGGTGCTGGAATTTTCCCTCTCTGACTGGTTTATCCCTCCAGCCATGGAGTCTCTCTGCTTCCTGCGTGTGATTCCTGGGTTTTTTT